CTGCTCCTTGAAACCCACTGCATTTCCAGTTCCCCGGGGGAATATCAGTTTGTAAGAAACTGTGGATCTTCAGCTGCTTTCAGGAAGCTGCATCTATTTCAAGCAACAGGAGGAAAATCTTGTTCTTGTGCACAGGAGGTGGTAGCAGCTATCACCAGAGTTCCCCAGGCAAAAGCTTTTGTACTTTGAATTGTTTTGATATCATAAACCTAAAGTACCCGAGGAGATCTGCGGGAGACACAGCAGGAAGCTCACTGCCAAGCTGCCTGTTCCTGTAGCATGTGTTTGCTTCCACGCAAGCGCAATTTAACTCCCCAGCCGGACCATGAACCACAGCCATGGCCCCTGCTCAGCCACCAAAGCTGGCTCAGAGGAGCTGCCACCCTGCAGCCCTCCAAGCAGCCTGAGACCCATGTCAGCCAGCACTGCACAGGGCACACATGCTGTCCCCAAGTCACAGCTGCACGTTAGGTTTCCTGGCTGCGACAAGAGACTAGGAGCTGTGTAAATGTCAATGAATGAACCTCAAACACCAAGACGAGGAATATCTCCCAACCAAACCTGCAGGTCTGTGATCTGTTTGGTTTAGCTTATCCACCAGCCATGGTTTAGTCACTTATTTTGGGCCAGGCCCCCAGCAGCCCGAAGGGCACCACAGCTTTATCCCTGCACTCTTGGCCTCACACCTGTGTGAATTGCTCTCCAGGGCTACCTCCAGTACATCAAGAGCCTGCCACTCAATGACAGCCCAGAGCTCTTTGGTTTACACGACAACGCCAACATCACCTTCGCTCAGAACGAGACCTTCGCTCTGCTGGGGGCCATCACGCAGCTGCAACCCAAGACCTTCACGGTGGGAGGCCGCAGCAGGGAAGAGGTGGGTTCCCCAGACCCATCACTGCTCCAGCAGCCCCTGTCTGGCACAGGCAGCTAGAACAAACACCAGCTGTCCACAGGTGCCACCACGCCTGCTGGGTGCCAGCAACAGCACTGCCACCCCAGTGTTAGCTCTGCCCCTTCTCGGCAGCCATAGCTGGGACGATGTCCACCCGCTTGCTGTCTTGCAGCTCGTGGAGGAGATCTCCAACGAGATCCTGGCAAAGGTGCCTGCCCCCATGGACCTGCAGGAGGTGATCCACAAATACCCACTGCGCTATGAGGAGTCCATGAACATGGTGCTGGTGCAGGAGGTCATCAGGTAAAGCCTTTGTGGGATCACATCCTGGGCCAGTGGCCAGCTGGTCACTTGGGGAACAGCAGAGATGTGCAGGGGCTCCCATCCACCCTCCCACCCACCCTTGAGGAACCTCAGTGCTGAGTACAGCAGCAGGGTTGGGAGCCACAGTGACAACCTTGTTGTCCCAGCAGAGCCTTCAGCTGATCCCTGTCCTGTGGGGACTGATCACTGTCTCCATCCGTTGCCATCAGCAATCCAGGGCTGGAGGGGAGCTGTGAGACCCTGCTAAAGAGGACTCAGGGTTACACGGAGAAGCTTCACTCATTGTGCAGAGATCCAGACCCTCTGGGGTGATGTGGGTGATAAATCATGGCACTGAGTTGCTCCACTCCCTCTGCTCTTTCTCTGCAGGTACAACAGGCTCCTGGAGGTGATTGCTCAGTCACTGAAGGATTTGCTGAAAGCTCTCAAGGGCCTGGTTGTCATGTCCTCTCAGCTGGAGCTGATGGCCACCAGCTTGTACAACAACACTGTCCCCGAGATGTGGGACGCCAAGGTACGTGCCCCAGCCAGCCCACCTGCCCGCAGGAGCTCACCCGAGCCAGGGGAATAGGGCATCAGCCACCACATCTGGACTGGGCTGTCCCACCAGCAACTGGCTCTTGCTCCCCGGGCACGAAGATGTCTCCTGCCGAGTGCAGCTCTGTTTTTCCTGGCCCCTGGGCTCTAGGCAGCTTTCAGCAACTGGGGCACAAAGTCTAGGTGGTCCTCGCATGCCTTCAACACCTTCCTCTTTGGGTCCCCCGCAGGCCTACCCGTCGCTGAAGCCCCTGGGAGCCTGGGTGATCGACTTGGTGCAGCGGATTGAATTCTTGAAGAAATGGATCAGCCACGGGATCCCCCCTGTGTTCTGGATCAGCGGGTTCTTCTTCCCCCAGGCCTTTCTCACAGGGACACTGCAGAACTTCGCCAGGAAGTCTGTCATCTCCATTGACACCATCTCGTTTAGCTTCAAGGTCAGTGGGTCAGCCAGAGGCTCTGGATTTTTTGCTGGATATTTTTAGCTAGGCGGCCACAAAGGCAGCAGTTCTTGCCCTTGTGCCCTACCCAAGAAGTGAAGACGCAGCTGCACAGCTGTCCACAGAGCCCATCATCCCCTCTGGGCTCAGATACACCCACCCCACTGCTGGACACCTCCACGAGGCAGGGAAAGACCTCTCTGCCTCTCCAGACGTGCCCACATCACTCTCCCCAGGCTTTTCCACAGGCTGCCTCACAGCCCCATGACATGAGATGCCAGAAAGCCCAGCTCAGCCCATCCGAGAGCTGGGCCCTGTGACAGCACTGACTTAGCTAAGAGCAGCTTAAGGGGGTCCTGGGGGCCGAGCCTGCAGGGACACACCTTGATCATGGCACTGGGCCCCCTCCTCTCCTCTGCAGGTGATGAAGGAGTCGGTGAGCGAGCTCACACGCCATCCCAACGAAGGCTGCTACATCCATGGCTTGTTTCTGGAAGGCGCCCGCTGGGACCCCGCTGCGTTTCAGCTGGCAGAGTCACGCCCCAAGGAGCTTTACACAGAGATGGCCGTCATCTGGCTGCTGCCTGTCCCCAACCGCAAGCTGCCAGCCACTGGCACCTACCTGTGCCCAATCTATAAGACTCTCACTCGTGCAGGTAGGTGCCCTAAAGCCGGGTCTCCAGAAGCAAGGGAGAGGGTAGAAGCAGCGAGGCAGGGCAGCCAGGAGAGGCTGCAGGGGCTCCTTCTTCCACACATGGCATGGAGCGAGGCACTGTAGGCTGAGACCAGCCAGGGAAAAAAGATTTCTCTTGCTCTGGTTGGGGAGATGGAACAGCCAGACACCCTGGCTATGCAGCAGTGTCTCTGGCCAGGGTCTCAAGCCCACACCTGCAAATACACACACCTCTTTGCCCCAGCCCTCAGCCTGTCACCCAGCACGAGCATGGGATGGGATCTCACATGGGGCCACTTGTATGGGACTCCTGGGTCACTGTGCAGCAGCCAGGGTGGCAGTGCCACCCTCTTGCCCTTGCTTCCCCCATTACAGGCACACTATCAACAACGGGCCACTCCACCAACTTCGTGATTGCGGTGGAGATCCCTACAGACAAGCCGCAGAAGCACTGGATCAAACGGGGCACAGCCTTGATCTGCGCCCTGGACTTCTAGCCTGAAATCCCACCCAGCCCAGGAACCCGTCCTAGCTGAGGGCCTGAGCCGTGGCCTCTGCCATCCTGCACAGAGCTGCCTGCCAAAAAATCCTGCTGAGCTGTGTTAATAAATTGAGCTCAATTCCACCAGCATCACGTTCACCTGCTGTTGCTGCAATCCCCACAATTATCTCAAGATTTTAGCACCCCATAAGAGCTGCCAGCAGGGACAGCATGGCCTGGAGCAGGCATTCAGTGCTCCCAGCCACACACACCCCTCTCCTTTCCCTCGCACGGCTCCCCTTGGCTGGCTGTTACCTGATAGCTTTATTCCTTCAGACAGATCCATTATTTACAGTACTTGATATTGGACACGGCAGGAGACAGAAGAATTTTCTTCCCTTCAACAAATAAAAAAAAAAACCACCCCAGTTTCATTCCATAGTCAGGATCTGTACAAATCTGCACATTTGCAAAGGTCAGTCCTCTCCTCAGGCAGCTCCCCTTGTCCCAGCTGCACCTCAGGCCACTTCCAGAGAGACGTGCTGACACCTCCGGCTTCCACTATTTCTGCCGGGCTGCTGGGGACAGGCAGGCGACCACATGGCCGAGTGCGGGTGGGGATGGTAGAAGGCAGCAGGCATGAGGCAGGCCAGGCCTGCGTGCTGGGGTACGAACAAGCTGCTTCCCTCATCAGCAAGCAGCCTGGGCACGAGGAGCAGCTTTGGGCTCCCTCCACTCCTTCTGCCCACCACCGCCTCCAGCATTACAGCAACCACTGTCCCCTCTCCCAGGCTGAAGGGCTTCACCCAGGGCACCAAGTGACTCTGCATCCAGGACCCACCCCAGCACCGTGCCGGGCAGCACCGAGCCGGGCAGCACCGAGGCTGCCCTAGGAACTTGCTCTGTTCATCATTCATGGGGTTTCTCTAGGAACTGGGCCTGGAGCAGCCCTGCGCGACCCACAGGCACTGCAGGGCCACAGAGCTGGTTCCCATGAGAGCAGCCCTGGCAGCAGAGCCACATGCCACCCCCAGCATCACCACGCTGGCTGGGCACAAGGCCCCCTCCAGAGACAAGCCCACCCATCCTCACCAGGCAATGGAGCTGCCAAGGCCCCCCAGGGAGTCTGGCTGCGCAGGCACAGGGTGCTGCCATTCCCCAGCAGCGAGGGCAGGGCAAGGCAGGATGGCCTGGCCACACGTCTGCCAGCTCGGGGAGCTGGGCAGCGCAGAGGCAGGTGGATGCAGAATGGGCTCTGTCCAGGAGACGCCTTGCTCAGCAATGGCAAAAGCATGGGTCAGAACCAAAAATAATTTTGGGGAAAGGAGGGAGAGGGATAGAAAACACAGACATGAACATTCTGGGGAAGCGCAGAGCTGAAGGCCTGGATACAGGAGGACACAAGCCCCAGACAGCTGCGGCCAGCACAGCCTCACGTCAGCATCACTGGCATTCCCCGCAAAGCCAGACCTGCCAGCGGCCGGGTGGGTCCTTCACCTCCTGCTGCAGTCCTCAGCCACGGTGTTGAGACACAGGCCCACGGCATCCGGGCGTGCTGTGGCACAGTCAGGCAGCTGGACACTGCAGCTCACTTTCTGCTGCAGCTGCAGGGACTCCCCTCAAGACAACATTCTGGCCTTTCACAACTCAGGCTCAGACGAAAACTGTTTTCTCTGTCCCCAAGCTCCTCCTTGGCCGAGGGCTTGTCGCTGTGGTCCCTCTTCCTTGGGCAAAGGGTAACATAGATCCACGCCCACTAGCCAAAGCCACAAAACCCAGCTGCTGCTTCTCACAGTCTTGACTCCCAGGCTACTGCCGCTTGGCTTTATATGGGCGGGAGCGTTTCCGGCGGTCCGGCTTCCTCTGCTTGTGCAGGCGGCCAATGCTGACTCCCTGCCGCCTGCGGACAGAGATGTTCTGCTCCACGAGGCTCGCCAGCATGCCTGCGGGGAGAGGCAGATGGACACACCCCACACTGTAGGGCTGGTATTGCCCATTCCAGGGTGCAGCCCTCCTCCCTCCCCCAAAACCCGTCAGTGGGCTCCTCTGGGGACTATAAAATCAGGAGGACACAGAGGAGAGACGTGTGGCTCCCCAGACTGGCACTATCTTGTGCCCCAGGTCTGGCAGGAATGGGGAGCAGGGCTGGGGGAGCTTCCCAGGCTCCCAGCTGCTGCCTCTGAGCCCCACGCTCACCTCCTCACCCACAGAGCTCTGCTCACCTTCCTGGGCCAGCATGGAGATGAAGGTACAGATGAACTCGTCGTAGTTGTGGGTTCTCCTCTGGTCATCAATCTATAAAGATGAAAAATCCACAAATAATCCACAAACAGGTGGCAGGGAGAAAGGAGAGCTCAAGGATGAGAGGGGGCAAAGAGCCGGCATGCCTGGCCCATCCCGCAGGCCAAGGAGACCAGAGCAGGAAGGGACCAAGCTCCCAGCCCAGCTCAGGCCAGTGCACAACTGGGACAGTCTCCACCCCAGTTCAGATGCCGGCATTTTCCACAAAGGGCAGCTGGGAAGACGCAAGGGTGGGCAGGGGAGGAATGCTGCCAGGCCCTGGGAGCTGCAGTGCTCCACCATCCCCCTCAGGCTGGTTAGTGCTGCTCAGGGGAGCGGGTCTGTCCAGGCAGGAGCTCTGCCCCACGGGCTGTCTGGTAACAGGAAAGGGACTCTGAACGCTCCCCATGGCCCTTCTCAGCTGAAACACCTTCCCTCCACTTTGCCATGAGGACACCCCAGACAGAAGCCTTCAGGGAGCTACATCAGCAATGCAAAGAAGCCATCAACAAGCATACCTTGAATTTCTTCCTCTTCTCCACCTCTTCCTTCAGGCAGGCCTCGTAGTTCGCAATCTCAGCCTCCACGCACTTGAGTAGCGCCAGTAGCTCCTGCCAGGGTCAAGCACAGCAAACGTGAGCCCACAGACCCCTGCCACATGTAGGAAATTTCTGAGTCAGAGGGTGATCAATCGGCCAGCGCTACAGCCAGCCCCAGGGGAGCCTGGCCCAGCCCCATGGACCTGGTTCTCTGGGACAAGGGGGAGTGGTGTGTGCATGCCTGAGAAACACCCCGGAGCCTGGTTCTTCTCAATAATGAAATCCGAAGACTTCCCTTTTGAGTAAAACAGTTTCTAGCCAGCTCTGCTCCAGGGAGCCCTTGATACACTTGTGCTGCCTAAGCCTGCCCCTCTCTCTGGCTGGAGGGCAGAGACCAGCAGTAAAGTTACCAGCAGGCTGGGATTTGGGGATGCAGGGTCCCACCGGCCTCTGGTCCAAAGGAGAGCACAGCACACTGAACATCTCGACTGCGGGAGACAGCGGCTCTGCCCACTACCAGGGCAAACGTCCCCAAGATGACACAAGGCGCAAAACCTGCACTGCCCGTGCCTCGAGGGACGGCTGCGGCGACATGCGGGCGGGACAGCGTGCACATGCGGTTCGGTCACGGCCAGCGCTGCTGCATCTCTGGGTGAGCACAGGGAGCTCCACGTTCCCAGGGCTGCCGCAGCACAAAACTCACCTTGGGAGAATACTTTTCCCCCCCAGGGTGATCACTGGTCCTGCCAAGTCCCACCTTCTCTTTGCTGTCACTGGCCTCACTGCCCTCCTTCTCGTCCAGTTTGATTGCAACCGGGGCCTCTTCACCGGGTTTGATGGAAGGGGGGGAGCTTTTCCCCCCATCTGCACACAGGGGAAGGAAGTGTTAGGAGCCATTGCAAAGGACCAGTATCCACCCCTGAAGTCAAAGGACAGTGTCCTGGTGCCGGAGGAGAGGTGCCAACCCCCCAAAA